GCATGGACGGAGGGCGTTTTGACTTTGAAACTTGTGGCGCCCCGGCATAGAGTTGAGGACTACTACGTTGTTATCTCTCGGAAGAGGCGCTTCATACAATTATGATAGAACTTCACTTACAGGTAAGTTCGTTTAATCATTAAATAGTCGTGGAGTTTATACATATACACTCTGTTGGCGTTAAAGTTCCAACGTCTCTCGATAGTTTCCACCACGATGCTCCGACATTCTTCAACATCCTGCACTCGCGCATCCGCTTCTGATTGTCTGTTGCGTTTCCGCCTCAGCGGTCCCTTACATTTTTCAATCCAACTTATTTGACGCTGTCCAATCGCGAAGAATAACCAATGTAAGCCCGAGTTTGCGATCGACTGCAAAAAAAAGCGACGTAACTTTTCCGCTCTTCAATGCGCAGTTTTTCTTTTTTACTTTTTTATTTCCGTCGCTCTGACTGGCGCCGAATCGGACGGAATATTTTCCGTAGTTCGAGTCTTAGGGCAATAATTATATCTATCGACATTTCGATATTTGTGATCAAGCATTTCAAAATTTTAACAAGTATATTTTGCAAATCTACGAAAGTACGTTGTCAACTAAAAGATAAAAAATTGTTATACACTTAAGGTGCAAATTCATGAAACGCTCGTTTTAGCGTTAGGACCATGGCACACAGAAAAACTTAAGCAGTAAAATGTAAGCAGTAAAGAAATTAACATGTTTTTTATTAATTAACATTTTTTGTAGTCACGTGACTTCGACGCTAGCATCAAAAAAAGAAGCTAGATTTTCTCGGCTTCAACGTCAAAGGCTGTTGTTTTGAACATTTTAGAAACGAATAATACGATTGACATTAAACTTGACGTTGCCGCTTTTCATGCAAGCCAATTATGATCACGTAATTTTGACGCTAAAAATGAGCGTCAAACGTCAGCATGAAAAGGCACCTTTACGCGGGAAAAAAATTACGAAGTAAAACAGATGAACAATTCACGAATGATTACTTTAATTTGTTTTTTAACTTTTCTCGAAGAGCCAATCAGCGAATCGGTCAGAAATTAAAATGTACAATATCGAAATTCTTTGCTCCAGAAACGGAACTTAAGTTAACTTTAGTCCAACGAGTTTAAGCGAATTTGAGTTAACAAAAGTCGGAAATTTTTTTCGGACACACGCTTGACGAAAGAAGCGCATGACAAGCTTTCTTATCACACGACGGACTCTGTAAAGATTCGGCGACATTTTATAAATATCCGGTATATCCGCGTCACGCCGACGTAATTCTGTAGTAATTCGATAATGACGTAACTCACTGCGGCGGCCTGTTGTGCGTCTCTGTTGTATGTACACTCGCTCACTAAAAGGTTGCGACACTTTTTTTTTATAGGTTTCTAATTTACATTTAATATACGTAATATATACTTTATAGATAACTAATATTTTGCAAATGCAAACCACGATGTACTATGTTTAGTCTGAAGGCAGTATAACACCAATCGTGGTCCGCATTTGCAAAATATTAATGCGTTTTGAAACCTATAAAAAAGAAAGTGTCGCAACCTTTTAGTGAGCGAGTGTACGTTACCTGACACGGTTCAGTAATAACATGAACATCGTCGTCAACCGGCGTTCCAGCGTTATTTCTTGGCCGCGGTGGTGAGCGATCGGCGGATTACTGGCGCGACATTATATCAATATATTATCGATACCTCCCCGTCGCGCTCGAGATATGTCGAGAGACACGCGAGGTCTGCATCGCGATCAGACGCTAATTAACCCGAATCCGCTATCAAGAGTGAGGATCTCTCGAACAAAAAAGATTGCATCTCGCGATATCCGGCATTGGCTCGTCGCCGGTTTATCCGCGCGCTCGCTCGCGACCCAGCCGAATATATTCCGGCGGATTTGGAATACTTTCAAGCTCGGCGACCTCTACCTACGCGGGCGTACATGGAGAAGCCATTCAATCAAATCAACTAATGGGCACGATCGACGAGATTGGCGGGCGCATTAATTATTTACAATCCTCGTGCGCGCCGCGGCATGCGACTAGAAATTTATTTTCATCTCCGGATGGATAAATTAAAACGCTGACCGCCGGAGCGCGGTCTCGACGTTTCTTTCAATGAGATTGAAAGATAAATCCGCGATAGCCGGCCCCGATCGAAAATCTCTTCTAGAGTTTATTAACGGAATTTGCATAAATGAAAAAAAAGCTCTTACGTAAACTGCCGAATATGTTTGCGAATCGCTCATTCACGAAGAAACACGGTTTCCGTAAATTCGAGGATTGTCCAGTATCGGATATTGACGTGTTCGCGAATAGAGACGTATTTTGCGTGCTCATTGCTAGATTATCTGCAGACAGATGATAAATTACCGCGTACATTCGACTTTATGAACTACGAAGCGCGTATAACGTTCGAATTAGGATTTGCAGTAAGCGGATAGGGGAGGTTTCTCAGTTGCTTGCCTGAAGCTTAAATGCCATATCGAAAATATGAATTAGCGAACAAGTACGAAATACATCAAGTGCCATACGTCTTTCAGATTTCAGATAATTAAAATACTTCTTTTTTCTTTCTTTTTACGTAGAAATTTAAAGAAAGTCTTCCGCAATGAATATATATAGTCACAATCGTACTAATTAACTTTGAAATTGGAAATTGGAAATGGTGAAATCAGTTTAAAAAGAGATCAGCGTTTGCTTAATTATGAAAAGAAAGTAATAGATTATCTCCTTCAATCCTAATTTCAATAAAATCGATAGCTATATCCGAGACAGACACGGGAAGGAATGACGGAAAAGTCGCTGAGGACGAGAAAAAGGGATGGCATAACGTAACGTCATTTATCATTTGAGGGAGGGGATTGCGAAAGTTTCGAGAATCGCAAGTTTAATCAATCAAGGCTATTTAATAATTGCTTGCTGACGCAGTAACTTCATGTTTTATAATACGAAAGTTATCAAACTTACGTCAGTGATTTTGAGCTGAACTTTAACTGAACTTTACCGAGAGCTTTATCAGGCTTTTTCGCAAAAATGTCGTCCACCCGCGTCTCTGCCAACGCTCTGCCAATATGAATTATTATTTCGTTGTTACATCAGAAAATTTAACGACGCCTCCTTCGACGCCGATCGATGTCGTTGGCGGGGACTCCTTCCTCCGCCTGACGAACAGAGCGAAAATGTACGCAACATGTTAATTGACCGTTTAAAGTATCTATTCATACACTCTTAACCTGCATGTATCGCCTAGTACCTCCAAATTCGAGGTATTTTTGTGAACATGGAAATGACATTTCGAGTTACACACTAAAAGGAGATATTTTTCGCAGTACATTAGCATGAAGTACGGAATATACAAGGTAATAATAAATTTGCCGATACAATTGGAGGTACTGCTCTTCTGCTGCTGCTGCATCTGGAGGTACTGCATCTGAATTCGCGATACATACTTTTCTTTTGGAGGTACAAGACTCCGAGTTCGTACCTCGTGTATATAATACGAGGTACAAAATATTGCGTATGTACCTCGTATATTTATAAATACAAGGTACTCAGCGGTAAAAATGTATCGCCTGTTTGGCAAGTCCTTGATTAAATGACAAGACAATTGATTAAAGATTTCGTGTATCTTCAATTTTTGACGATACATATTTAAGAGATATACTTATGTCCGTCATAATTACGTAAGGTTTATATTTCAACTAACTTATACTAAATCTAGGTATACTTAATCTAGTTATTTCTCAAATGACGCGTGACGCGTGCGTCAAATGACGTGCCTATCACTCGTAATCACGTACCTCCAATTTTTGGCGATACATGATTTGAAATGCAAAAGCGTCATCGCATTTGACGCCAGTGTTCAAAAGTTCATGCCCTAATAGTGAGAACATGAGAGCCAAAAATTATATACCTATATAAAATTGACAAATAAAAACGGGCAAATGAGAGTCAAGCGCAGTTATTAAGGCGCAAATTATCTCTTTAATACTAATGAAATTTTACATATACAAATTTAAATGAAGTATCCAAACGTTTCGACTCCTTTTTAATTCATCATCAGTATGTCTTCATTAAAATATGCAGTACATCCCGAACTCAATGCGAAAGTTAATAAATCCGAATATATATTCCACGTTGGTTACAACGCCATGTGAATATAAAGAATACTCGCCATGGAGCCATAAAATACAATAAGATGAAATATGATAAGGTGAATCATGTCATGGTCGATGTACAATAATTGTTAGATAAATACCTTATACATTAATAACGAAATCACGCAACAAAGATCTCTCTTCGGTTCGCAAATAACGATGTTATCCGTTCAATCGTCAAAATTAAAGTCCAAAATTCATTAAATCGTCACAAATTAGAACTGTTTTCGACAAAGAAAGGTTATAAATTATGACGCGTGACGCTCGCGTCAAATGACGCGCCTATATGAGTAATTTACCTTTACGGCCGAAGCGTTTTCTTCTCAATTGTCGTCGTTGCAGGTGCTTCAAATTTCTGTTCGTTGCACCAGCGCGGCGCGGGCGGAGCGGTGACGACAAGCTGCTCGAACGTTAAATAAATAATCGGCCTTTTCTTTGTTGCGTCGGGTTCGCGCGCGCGATTGTGCAAACAAAGAGACGAGAGATTCCTCGTTCGCCTCTCGTGTCGCCAGGCCCGTCCCGATATTTGCGCACCTGCACTCTCCGCCTTTCCCCGAGTCCAATTAATGGAATTACCTTGCGCCCGCTCCAAAGGATTTGTTTTAACAATCCGCACGGTGCTTTGCCCGGCGCCGAGCGCGCGCGGCGCGGCGCGGTGCGGCGCGGCGCCCCACGGCACCCCACGGCGGAAGGAAGTCCCATTTCCTGAATTACCCTTCGCGACTCGCCCTCCAATTAATGACGTCTTCCGCCTCGAGAAAGACGCTCGCCCAATGACGCGGACGAGATTCTCGTCCAGGGTGCGGGTATTTGCAGAGGACTTACAGCGAGTTATCGGCGCCCAGGCTTGCCGATAATTAACGCGCACTTCCGCGCGCGAGGAAATTGACTCGGATTCGTTACGTTCAGAATGAAATTTAGATACGAGGTGATCCAATTTCCGAAAACGTCGACTTGACAATGACTTCATTTTGAAGTCAAGCGGCCACCCGTGCGCTGCAGGAAAACTCGGGGAAAGTGTGCTTGTTGTTTGGCACCAAGTGAGTGAGTTTTGCGCTTGCATATTAATAAATGTTAAATTGAATTTCGGTGCCCGAAATCCCGCGCGCCTCCTTCAATCCGCGTCAATCCTCCCTCCGCCCGCGAAAACGCGCCGGAGATCCGGGTCACCGGGTTTTTACTTCGTTCTTGTCGATCGGGCGAGGTGGGATGGAGAGAGAGAGGGGGGGTTCACTTCGGTTACCTCCCGTTTTTCATAAGTTTAAGACGGAACGTCGCGGCAAGATGCTGGGCACTTAAAAGTCACCGCCGAGCCGAGCGTCGTCGGAACGTTTCACAGGCAGACATTAAGTAAAAAAGGAAATGACACGTAGTACTGGAATGTGGGTCAAGTCAGCATAATTCAATAACGTTTGGCCTAAAAGGTTTCACGACGGCTTCGATGGGCTGCTGGTTGTTATCAGCGGCAATGAACGACGCGTCTTCTTTCGCGCGCTCGCGCCGAGCCGCGCCACGTCGACGGTTATTACTGTCGAATGAAACAATAGAGGGGCTCATGAATTTATTATTAAGTACATTTCAACAAAAATTATATGTTAATTCCGAAAGCGGTAAAATATTCCAGAAGTATATATATATAATACATATATATATATCTCTGCAGGTGTACCGCATTTATCGCGCGAATTTCAATCAACAGTTCCTGATATCGGGTATAATTAAAGCAATCTATTATACGAAGTAAAGCGAAATTTTAATAGTGCACATGTTTATAAGCTTTTACGGCCTACGCATGAATGCAAACCCCATTTATAGTATCATTATTAATATATTATATTTTCGAGTCTCTTATCCCACCGACCAATAACAGTTAATTATTACGCAATTAATTATTGTACGATAATGTTGATCATCATTCGATGTTTTAATAATTCATTAATATCGCGGATTCTTATATCGCGGCATTGCAACAGCGAGCGTTATACGAATAAAAAAAGTAATTCCGTAAGATTTTTTTGCATTATCGGAACATTCAACGAACTGTCAATAATTAATCCGTCAAGTAGAATAACGAATAATGAAAAACATAGCGCGAATATCATATTCACCGAACGGCGCTCGCACGGAATAATATTCGCGCTTAATTAGCGCATTTACGTGGTTGTTATTTAGCATTTCAACGAGATGCAGTTGCATGTATCTCCTGCACCGCGCGAAATCGGGAGATAAAAATCCTTCCATATTTCGCCAATTCCAAAATAATGTAGAATAATGATTGTCTGATACAAGAAATCACGAAGAACTTTATATGCATAATAACGATAAACTTCCGATTCATTGTCTGATTGATTGAAATCGTCGTTTAGCTCTCTTTTCGTACTAGCAAAATTTGGTCAAAATTTTCATTGTAACTAAATAAGATAAAAGTTAACGTCGAGTTTCATGACTGTTTCCAGTCAGAAAGATTAAGGTTGAGAGCGGACTAATCGTGAACGATACTTGAAACCATTCTTTATCGCTGAAATAAGAGAGTCAGAGAATTATATGAAATTTATGAGAACCATCGGAAACATTTATTACGCGATGCGATACATGTTAACATTTATCAGCGAAGTAATGGGACGGAGGACACGGATCTGTCGCTCTCCTCCATCTCTCGCTTTCCACATGCTAGCCGTATCGAAAACAATCTCGTCTTACACTGTTAAATCTATAGTGTTAAACTGAACCTTATTTAAGTCGCCACTGCTCCTACTTAATAAATAGTTATTTTTTACTAAAACAATGGAGTTAAATAATTTACGATTATAATTAAACAGTTCAAATTTAACCCAAATTTGGATTAAATTTATTGTTTTATTTAAAAGTAATCATATTGTTTTAGTTAAAAATAACTATTTATTAAGTAGGAGCAGTGGCGACTTAAATAAGGTTCAATTTGACACAATAGATTTAACAGTGTACATTGCGTAGCGAAGTATGTAACTTATTAAACCTTGGAAAACTCGCAATGTTCGTTAGCGCGCGAAATCCGATCGCGCGCGCTTCATTATTATGCCTGAGTTATCAATTTTGTTAGCGATTAGATGTCCCCGA